CAAACTCAAAGGAGCAAACTTCTTTACTAAGTTGGATATACAGGCCGGATACAACAACGTACACATCAAGAGGGGGATCAGTGGAAGGCTGCCTTCATCACTCCCTTCGGCCTATTCGAACCGACAGTCATGTTCTTTGGCCTATATAACGCACCGGCAACCTTCCAAAGCATGATGAACCATTCGTTCGAAGACATGATACACGAAGGATGGATCGTAATCTACATGGACGACATTCTCATTTTCTCCCACCATATCAAGGAACATCATGAACGAACACTGAGAGTCCTCAAACGACTTGAAGAGTTGGATTTGTTCGTCAAGGGAGAAAAATGCGATTTGATGTCACCGAAGTCGAATTCGTGGGGTCTATCATAAGACCAAACCAAATCCTTATGGACCCGATCAAGGTCAAAGCAGTACTGGAATGGAAAACACCCAGGAAACTTAAGGAAGTACAAGCATTCCTGGTTTCGGCAACTTCTACCGACAATTCATCAAGGACTACTCGAAAGTGGCTAAACCCCTCACAGCGCTTACAAGAAAAGACACACCATTTGTGTGGAGCACGGATTGCGAAGCAGCATTCCAGGAACTCAAGAATCGCTTCACCAACGGACCTATCTTACAAATGCCAGATCCACACAGGCTGTTTCAAGTAGAATCTGATATGTCGAAAGTTGCAACTGGAGCGGTACTCCGACAACAAGGACCAGACGGACTATGGCACCCCTGCGCCTATCTTTCCAAGTCGTTCACAGAAGCAGAACGAAACTATCAGATATATGATCGAGAACTACTGGCCATCGTACGAGCCTTCAAGGAATGGAGACACCTACTTCAAGGGTCACCACACTCCATAGACGTCATCACTGACCATCAAAATTTGACGTACTTCAGGGCAGCTCAAGATTGAACACACGACAAGCACGATGGCACAGCTACCTCAACGAGTTCCATTTCACGCTGAAGCACCACCCTGGCAAGACGATAGCACAAGTGGACACTCTGTCCAGGAGAACAGACCATGAACAGGGGGAGGATGATAACAAGGATATCGTCATGCTACCAGAGCAAATTTTCACTATCAATACAATCAACATCAAACTACAACAATGAATCCACAATAACAAGGCACGAGATGCGAACCTAGTACACTTCCTCACAACCAAAGATTCGAAAACTCAATGACCAACATGGGGAAACCCCGAAGATTGGACAGAGGAAGACGGGCTCTTACTCTTCAAAGACAGAGTATATGTCCCTCCAGACGAAGAACTCTATTGAGACATAGTCAAACTACACCACGAACCAGCAGTAATGGGCCATCCAGGCATTCAGAAGATGTTCGACCTAGTCCGAAGAGAATATATATGGAACGGAATGCGAAACTTTATCACACAATACGTCCGAGGATGCTCCAAATGCCCAAACACTCAAGGTCAACACACACCCAACGAAACCTGGCCTAATCCCCATCGCGCATAGTGGCAATACACGACCATTCGGAGTAATCACCACGGACTACATCACTGATCTCCCACCTTCAAACGGCTTTGATGCAGTACAAGTGATTGTCGACCATGACGTCACCAAATGGCGATCTTTGCACCATGCACGAAAACCATTACAGCAATGGGAGCATCCAAACTCCTATGGGAACAAGTCTTCAGCCGTTTCGGACTCCCCGACAAAATTATATCAGATCGAGGTCCACAGTTCGCAGCAGAAGCATTCAAAGAATTACACAAGGCCATGGGAATCGAAACAACGATGAGCACGGCTTATCACCCACAAACGGATGGACAGACAGAACGAGTCAATCAAGAACTCGACCTAGCACTACGAATCTACGCTGCGAACGACCCAGATCACTGGGCTGACCGCCTCAAGGAGTTCGAATTCGCACACAATCAACGCACTCATTCAGTGACCGGAAAATCACCATTTGAACTACTCTATGAGTACCAACCAAACATAGCAGGAACGGTCCGCAGCAATCTCAAACATCCCAGCACGCAAGAACGGCTAAAACAGCTCAAGGCCGATCAGGAAAACACAATCGCCGCGCACAATCAGGCTGCCGCAGCAATGGCACGACGGTCACCAGCACGCCCAATCACATTCAAAAAGGGCGACAAAGTGCTGTTAAAAGCAACAAATCTCCGGCTTCCATACCCCTATCGGAAATTGGCGCCAAAACGACTTGGCCCGTTCCCTATTTCCGAAGTCATGGGGCCAGTCACATTCAAACTCGTGCTTCCACGCAGTTAGAAGATACACCCCGTGTTCAACGCCACGCTGCTCACACCATATCGAACGACAAAAGAACACGGCCCAGACCTGCCCAGACCACCACCTGACCTCATAGAAGGCCAAGAAGAACACGAGGTTGAAGCAATCCTCAAGCACCAACTGCGGGGAAGCAGATTGAAGCCGAAGCTCTATTATCTCGTCGCATGGAAGGGCTGGGAACCAGAACATCACCTGACCAACGCACCAGATATCCTCCACGCATATAAAAGGAAGCACCGACTCTGAACCAACCTCCATCCCCTACCCTTCACATCTAACCCGCTCTCGCACTCGCAACACTGCAGTCATACCTCGTACCCGCAATGCCACCCCGGGCTCATGCTCCACTCGCTCGCGGACTACCCCCGTCGCCCACTTGTTCGCCTCAACCACCGGACGGACCGTCCCTCGGTTTATTACAGATAGACCCCTCATCTCGTACCAACATCTCCCGGTCACATTCCTCCGCAACAACGCCCCAGCCCCCTTTGGTCTCCGCATCGGATGGGTTATTGCACACCTTGACCTTCACGATCAAGTGCGCGTACGCACTGAACACATCCCAGGAGCCACTCATTGCATTGAAACCTATCGAATCTTCGCCGACGCCTACCAGACCCATCAAGAAGCCAATACGTTCGTTCACCGAGCAGCGGGGCCGGCGCGAGTCAAGGAGAATGCACAGCGAGCTGCGTGCGCCACTATGCACCTCCTCATCCGTGGTGCTGAACTTGCGGTTCACCAACTCGCCACCTACCAGGTGGGATGTGCTCTCGCGGACCTCCTCCCCTGTCGCAAACAGCATACGGACCACACGCGGTACGAGCAAGCGCCACCTACCCCTACCGAGGCCGAACGTAACCAGGCAGCGTGGGGAAAAGAGGAGTACCGGATGCGTGCTACCACAGGAGGATGGATGGGTATGGAGAGTTCAGCCATGGAATGGGGGTCACCAGTGGAAGAAGAAGACGACAACGAGAAACCGACCACCCCCACGCCAGGGTTGACCCTCTTCGACATGATCGCTGCCCTTGGACCTCGTGGGTCCCATACCCCACTTTCTCGCCCTCCCACCCCGACACCACCCCGACACCACCCATGCCATCCCCAAACGCACAAACGGTCCACCACTATGCGGACGACGAGGTACACTACAAACTCGTTGTCCCGATCCAGGCCCCAACTCCGTACGACAACGATGAAGACATGGGCAACAACGCGGACTCGGAAGGAGGAGAAGCCTCCTCCAGCGACCACAAGGACGAGGACGACGCCCCCCGCCTGGAGCTCCTACGCGCCTACAACCCGGTTGCCCAACCGTTCCACCTAGAAGGTGCCACCAGCCACTATGCCCTCCGCGGCTACCTATCTGCCAACCACTTCATTGGGGTGTACACGCTCGAGTGGCCAGTGCGGTACTCACCCGAGAACATCGAGTTGAGGATCGCCGCAGCCCTCCCCTATGTGGCCCCGGGCATTCGCCTCAGCCTCGAACTTCATGTCCTCAACGTTGTGGCGCAATGGTGCAACACTCACTGCGAAGAGGTCGTCGACGACTGCGTGATCAATGCGGGACACTGGTGACGCTTCCTCACGTACTAGCCAGGCCTTGCCTGCAGTGAGCACTTTTGTGGGAAAGCCTTCTGGGAAGCGCAAAGCCTCTGATAATGCTGAAAGCTCTACCAAGCGACCTAGAACCACCAATCTCTCTGCTGGCTGCCCTTTCAATGGCCTGCCCTGGGACAGTGTCAACTATAGCTGTGCCTATGACAGCATTCTGACCATACTAATGGCTGTGCACAAAGAGAATGCAAATGTATGGAACGAGTACATTGCACCTAAAAGTGCCCTGCTTCAAACTGCTGGAGAGTTGTTTGATCAAGTCAACTCTGGCTGTTTTACTCCCCAGCTTGCCTGTGACCAGATCAGAGATATACTTGGTGCATTGGATGACAGTTTGGGTTGCAAAGGCTCTGAAGGCATTGATGGATATTTACTAGCAAGGTATTTGTTTACTCCAGATATCCCTAGACTGCAGATGGAATACAGCTGCACCCAGTGTGAGTACACTTCTGCCTGGATTAAATGCAATGCAAGCAACCTTCAATACACCACCAAAGAATCCTCCTGGGTGTTTTCTATAGATCACAGAAGAGAACACCCTAAAGGTATGGGTCTTCATTGAAAGCTGTTAGTCTCAGAGTGGCTTTCAGTGTCTATAGAACAGAGTTCAGACAGAGTTTGTTTAGAGTGTGATGCTGCTATGTACAAAAACTATAACTATCTAGACCACAGCCCACCATTTTTGTATCTAATTCCCAGGTTGATTAATGTAAACATAGAGACAGAAATCAAGTTGCCTGATGGGGAGAGGTACAGGCTGTGTGGAGTTGTTTATTATGATAACAATCACTTTACAGCCAGAATAGTGGATAAATCTAGATAAATCTGGTATCATGATGGTATAAAAACTGGAGACAAGCTCAAGTATGAGAAGAATATGCTGAATATCAGCAACAATGGGTGGCTGAAGGCCAGAAACTTCAGAGTCACAGCACTTGTGTATATTAAGCAATTTTGATGGGTGGCATTTTCTGGACGCCAATGCTCCCACATCTCCACCTGCAACCTCTCCCCCACTAGCTGACCCTCTCCCTCACTCCACTCTTCCAAATCACGTGCGTTGCAACACTGCTCCTCGCATCCCTGCTCCCTACACAATTCCAGCGCCTGGAACTCGCCGCTCTACACGCCCTACATATGGTCGAGCCCTGACTCGTCTTGAGGACAACCCCTCTTACCACAAGACCTCGTACGTGCGGCGTGCAGCTGACGGTGAAGGGGAGGATTATGACCCTGCTCCACAGGACCCTGCACAGAAAGCAGAAGAACCCGAGGACTTCACGCTCCATGACAATGACAATGACACTGATGAAGAGCACGCACACGCATCCACTCTCGACTCCGATGACCCCAAGACCTACCACGAAGCCATGTCCCGCCATGATGTGGACATGTGGGGTGCTGTGATGGCTGAGGAGATGGGCCAGTTCGTTCGCATGAAGCTCTTTGACGAGGTCGGACGCCCCACCAATCGCCGGGTTAAGGCTGCATGCGGATTGATCCACGGATGATCCGGTGTCTTATCCCTGGATCATGGCCGCTCCGGAGGCTTGATCTGGAGCTGCATGGATCAGATCCTCTGGAAGAGCCAGATCCGCGAGAGCCGGAGCCGCAATCTGCGGATCGAGCCTCCAACTGAGCCTCACTCTGTGGCTCAGTGTGGATCAGCTGTTTCTGCGGATTCTTCTGCCTCAATTGTGTTATCACAAGCTGTCACAATGCATTCATGATCATTTAAAGGCATTTCATTGACAGATAATTACTCTAGAAACAGTGTATACTACTACAATGCGGAAGAAGCGGGCGAGAATGGGAGACACTAGTGATGGGAACACAGTGGGCAACGCGTGGGCAATGCGGGCCAGGGGGGTGGTGCGGAGTAGGCGCGTGTGGGCGAGACAATGGCGACGCAGTTCACGTAGGAGTGACGCGGAGGCAAGCGAGGGCAAGACGGGGCAAGGCGAGGACACGGCGGATGGCGCGGGCACCAGCGACACGGATGAAGGCGACGCGGGGGAGGCGTACGAGCTGCAGGGGATATGGCAGCGACGCGGGGACATGTGGGGGGTGGAGAACGCATCGACAGGGAGAATCCACAGTGCGGGCCAGAGCCAGTCGCCGCGTGTCGACGCAGCCGTACTTGATCGCGTAGTGGCCGAGGGCGGGTGACGCGGGCGCGATGAGGGTGCAAGGCGGGAGACAATGCGGGGCTAGGCGATGCGGACGAGGACGACGGGGAGGTCAGGGACGCGGGGGACGAGTAGGCGGGGGACGGGGCTGCGGGTGTAGGGGAGGTGGAACGCAGAGAGGAGGACGCGGAGGGCAGGGACGCGGCGGAGGTGGGGGAGAGAGACGCGGAGGTGGGCGTGGACAGATTTGGCAACGTGGGACGTGGGCTGCAGGCGAGGGCGACGCGCGTCACGCGGGTGAGACGTCGCTGAGGACGACACAGAGATGGTGGTGGGCAAAACGCGGGGGGGCGAGGGCGAGAGGTGGATGGTGGGCGAAACGGGCAACCCGGGCGACAGGTTGATGAGGGGGAAAGCGGGCGGCGCAGGTGAGGGCCAGCGAGCGCAAGCGCGACTCAGTAATGATGCGGACGACACGGGCGCAGGCGAGGTGGAGAGGGCAAGGGCAAGGGCAAGGGTTGTTCAGGGAGCGGGACTGCAGGGGTTGCCAGTGTGGGGAAGAGGGAGGCAATGCGGGAGGCAGTGGGGGCAGTGGAGGACTCACTGAGGGAGATCTGGGCTGCAGGAGCTCACCGCGACCCCATGACACAACTCCTGGGCTTCATAACGGACCTGCGCACGCGCGCGATGACGCCGCATCGATTGAGGGTGGAGGATAAGTGGAGGGCAAGGATAGAGGCAGGCAAGTGACGCGCGAAACGCCGCGTTCGAATCCGAACATTGCCAAATCAGGATGGATTCCCGCGGGCAGACGCCAGATGCAGGCGCCAAAAGCACTGCAAGTGAAAGGAAGTAGTATTGTATCAATATCTCGGTCATTTTTACACCGAATAACACACATGTTTTATCGTTAGAAAGCTGCTTCAAATGGCTTTTGACTGACATAGCTTTTGTAGTATATATACACATAATGCTTGAGAATCTGCGGATAATCCGTGGATCGAGCCACAGATCCACCAATTTGCAGCCCCTTTGATCTGGAGCCGCTGGGAGCTGGAGCTGGAAAGAGCTGGAGCCGCCCGGCTCGTGATCCCCGGCTCACGGCTCCGGATCATTGCAGCTCTACCCGCGAAGTGAGCCGGACCCTCAAGCAGCCTTACGCCGGGTCGTGCAATCAAAGTGGGTTTTCAAGCTCAAGCGTGATGTGGATGGCAACCCCATTCGCTACCACGCTCGACTCGTCGCCAAGGGATTCATGCAGACCGCTGGAGTGGACTACAACGAAACGTACACACCTGTCAGCAAGTACGGCACCATCCGCCTCCTTCTTGCCCTCGCTGCCAAGCACAATTGGCACATCCATTAGCTCGACGTCAAGTCCACCTTCCTCAACAGCGACCTGGACAAAGAAATCTACATGGAGATTCCTGAAGGATTTCGCGAGCAAGCTGGTCTCGTCTGGCACCTCCGCAAGGCTCTCTACAGGCTCAAGCAAGGCAACCGCGAGTGGTACAGAAGGTCCGAGAGCTGTTTGAAGTGTTCAGGTTCAAGCACTGCAACACTGATCACGCCGTCTTCTACAAGCGCGTGAACGGCACACTCATCGTCACCTCTGTGTACGTTGATGACATGCTCATCTTCTCCCTAAGCACAGACCTCATCGACGAGCTCGAGAACACCATGAATGAGCGCTGGAAGGTTACTCGCCTCGGCGATACACATTTCATCCTCGGCATGGAAATCCAACGCAACTACAACCAGAAAATCATCACCCTCAGCTAGCGGCAGTACACGCTCGACATTCTGGACAAGTACAACATGTCCGACTGCCACCCTGTCTCGACGCCGATGGAGCAGAACCTTAAGCTCCTCAAGCTCGATACACCTGAAGTCAACATCTCTCGCCAGCCCCGCATCGTCTGCTCCTCCGTCCACCCGGCGCCATCGTGCTCGCACGCGTGGCTGTCACGGCAAGCTCCCGCGGCCTCCTCTGGTGAGTACTTCAGTTCTTCCTGCCCCCTCTGCTCCTGTGTCCCCTTCTCCTCCTAGGTTCTGGCCGCACCCACAACGCCCTTGCCCGTCCCACGCTCACACTCGTCTCCGTTGTCCGCGTTGCCCTCGTCCACCTCGCCTTCTTCGCCTCGCCCTCGCCCATCTTGCCTCTACATCGCACCTTGTCCATGTCCACCCACGTCACCCACCACGCCATCCCCTGCACCCGTAGCCCCACGCATCGCCTACCGTCCTCCACCTGCCCCACATTACCTGATCTTCCATCTCTGTGCCATCATTGTGCGCCGCCGTTCTGTGGGATTGCGGTGAGCTCCTGTCGTCCCAATCTCCCCAGGTGAGTGCTCCCCACCCTGAACGTCCTTGCCCATCTTGCACTCGTGCTCATGCTTGTCCGCTTTCCCCCTTGCCACATCACCAACCTCAGATTGCCCCCAGCTTGCTCCGCCCCGCGTTGCCCTCCACCTCATCTCTGGATCTGCCTCGCATTGCCCACCACTACCTCCGCGTCTCCTGCATCTCCCGTCTCACCCACATTGCTCGCGTCACCCTCACCCACAGCCTGCGTCGCCCACATCCCCTGCCTGTCCTACGTCACCCAATACCCTGTCCACACGGCGTCATCACCCTTGCATGTGTGGCCGCTCTGTGGGGTCATGGTGAGCCCCCGTGACCTTGATCTCCCCCCGTGAGTACTCTCCCCCGCTCCTTCCAGTGCTCCCTGCGTCACCTCCCCCACCTAGAGCTCTTGCCCACATCGACCCCATCCTCCTCCTGCACCTCATTCATCTTGGATAGACCCTTCATGTTGCCCACCTCCTCTATGTTGTCCCCTGGCTCCACCTCATGCTGCCCTCCATGCGCGTTGCCCTCCTCCTCCTTCGCTGCTCCACATCACCCTTGTCTGCTCTCATGCTACGCCTGCCTCATTCGCCTTTCCCCCACCTCATCCGCGTTGCCTTCA